CAACGATTATGAATATTTCTTAATTAAAAAACATAATGTGTTGTTTTAAGTATTTAAGGTGTTTATAAATTTTTCAAGTCTCAAGCCACCTTATTATCCCAGTTGTAGGATTTATTAATTTAAAAGAAACACATATGAAATCCTTGCACATCCCAATACCATTCTTTTTTCATTCAATATCAGGGTTTCTAACTAAATTATTACAGTCTTTGTTTATTGGCTCTGACTTATAACTGAACAACCACTGGTTGTTATTATTTTGAACTGTGTCTCATGGAGTCAACATTCTGTTTACAAAATATTATTTGAAAATTTTCCAATTGCCAAAATCCAAAAGATAGTACATTTCTCTTAACAGCACAGCTTGGAAAAATATACTCAGAAATGGTATCATGTGAAATTAAAATCTGAAAATAAGTAGGGTAGGCTACATGACTTATTGGTATATATACAGAAAATAGAAAATCAGAGTTAAATATACAAATTTATTTTAAAATAATCTACAATGATTTATATTCCAACCTATGCCATTTATAGAATGCCAAGACAATGTCTGAAAATTAAGCATTATTCTGAGTTTCCCAGAGAATACCAAAAACTGGTCTGAGTTTTCTCTAACTAAATTGACTATTAAACCAATGGATTTTAACAAAGATCTGTGGCTATATAAATACTACCTAATGAGGAAAAAATGAAGTTATTTTCTATATTGGGAATTATGACATACTTTAAAAAGCGTTACATTGACTCAAAAACCATACAGACTTCCCAAGAACTTTTGTAGAAAGTTATAATTTGATCAATCAAGATATTTAGAACATAGGATAAAAAAAGAAATTTAAAAATATTCACCTTCAATTGATATCATAGGTCACTGTTATACCACCTAATAAGATAATTAAAAACATGCAAGCAGCTGGTACTACAGCTAAACAGATTAATGTAATAGTCTGTAGTCATATATGCTGGCAAGGGGCTCGCCTCTTTGCAGAGAAGGTCAGCCGTCCTTGAAAAGAGGGGATGTGGGTGGTAGTGAGAGAATATTCCTTCTACCATGTGGCCTGTACTATAGTCACTTGGTTAAATGTCTATTGCAAACTACTTTTCTTTCATACCCAGCAAGGAGTCTCTCAGTTTTAATGGTTTTATAAGAAATACAGAAAGCTCATATCATCTGACAGAAAACATGAAAATTGGTCTCCTCCCAAAATTACAAGATATAATACATACACGAATAATATCTTTTCAATTTTTATGCTTTTTCAATTTTAATAAGTCAAATTAGTTAGGATATATGCAACCAAATTTTAACAAAAACTGCCAAAACAAGATCTACTCTATTACCCAGGCATCATATAACAATCATACTGGTGCCTTAGGAGTTAAAAGCAGCTACACTCTATCTTGAATCAATGAAGCAAAAACCACAAAAGACACAAATCCAAAGTAAAACCTCCCAGCCTATAAAAAACAAATCTATAAACATTAGGCACACAAAGCTATAGTTAGGGTCCATCGATTTTAAATTTCAAATATTTTTTGTCAAAATTCCAAACATCCATCTCTGAAGTCATACTAACAGTAAAACATCTTCCTTTCATCTTTACTATGTGTACACTTTTGTTATACACAGGCAATTTAAAATACTGTATCAGAGACTGAGAGTTTCAAGCCTTAGGTTAAGCTTATTCTTAGCTTTCCTTCTGCTAACAGACAAAAGTTATTTTTCCTGTGAGACACATTTTTTAAAAAATTTCCTTTTAGTGTCTCTATATTAAAGCACTATAAAAAAAAATTCTACATTACCAAAAAGATAACAATGATGACAATGATGATGATATCAACTGGAAGATAAAATCAGGTAATATTTATTCAGCATTTACCACATGATATTACCTCATTAACTACTCATAAGTGTGTTTTATTACTCCCATTTTAAAGATGTGGAAAGTGAGGCTAAAATTTGTCCAAAGTCTCTGACGTCAGGATTAGAACCAACTCACTGTGTTTAGGCATTACTAACAAACAAACAAAAACAAAACAAAACAACAGCCCTGTTCTGTGTGGCTCAGTTGGTTTAGCATAGTCCCATGCACCAAGAGGTCACCAGTTCAATTCCTGGTCAGGGCACATGACCAGGCTGCTGGCTCGATTCCGAGTAGGGAGCATGCAGGAGGCAGCCGATTGTTGTTTCTCTCTCTCTCTCTCTCCTATAAAAACATATTTAAAAAAAAAATTTTTTTTTAACAACAATAAGAATACAGTCCTCTTGAAACTGAAAATCTAGGCCCACAATAATAGAAACAAATAATGGTTAAAATATAGATGTAGGTGATCAATTCAAAAGATAATAAACCTTGGCATATGCTATAAAAGACTACACCCGTTTGAAGGTCAAATGAGGACTAAGGCCACAAAGTTGACAATTTACATGAGGTAAGCATAAAAGAATAATAATGTCATGGCTTTGCACTTAGATTTTCCAAAGGCTTTGTTTCATGTATTTTATCTCAGTCGTTAAAACAGTTGTGAGAAGGATGCATCCATTTTATAGATGACAAATTAAGGCTAATCATTATCTTGGACCCAAGTATATACAGCTTGTATATGTTCATACTAGGCCGACAGCCAGAATTGTCTAGCTGTGCAGGAAGGTCAGGATTTCTGAGGCAGTTCAAATAATACAAAGGTAGAACTGCTAGGATGTCTGAGGGTTGGAATATTCACATTTTTCCAATGACCTATTTCTAGTTAGTTTAAAAGGGCTATGATGGCAGGAGAAAAATCATTTTCATTTACAAAAGTAAATTTTACTGACAATTCTGTTGCCATTTTAGTGTGATTCTGCAACAATTCCTAGGTTTTATCAGTTAACCTTAATATGAAAATATACCCCAGAGCTGTGTTTCTATGAATTCTGCATTTAACCCAAGTGTCAAATTCACAAGTAAACTCATTATATTGTAAGAGCTATTGCCTACTGAGTAGAAAAATATTCATTTCATACTTTAAATACTATAATACTATTTAATAAGAGCACTGGCCTGCCAACTACTGAAAGCTTGTTTTTATATACTGTACCACCTGAGCTTTTTATCTTGCCTTTTTAATTACAACAATAAATTAATATCTTAACATTACAACACTGACAGGCATTGATTAAAAATATATTAGTTAACAACATTAGTATTTATTGTGCAAAGTTGCATTAGGAGTTCATTTTCAAAATACAATTATCATCCAATAAAACTAAGATCCTTTAATCTTCAAACTATTCAAGAAGAAAATAAATTGCAAGATAATACTTTGCATTCACATTAACACATTTCTCTTAACTTTATATTATGTCCATTATTTACTATAATTAGCAAAACTATAAATGTAATTGTAAAATATAATTTACCAACAAAATTTATATACATATAGATTTTCCTTCCTTTGAAATATATCTTAATTTTCCTTTTGCCTTGGTTATTTTTTATTGTATTTATATCTAATAATGATATTGCCACCATAGATTTCACATGAATTATCATATTAACATTCCTCAGTTACACGCCAAATCATAAATCTTTATTTAACTATTGGTTACATTCACCTATTTATTTGGGGTGATCAGCTATAACGTGTTCAGAGAGAGGATTCCACATATTATTTAATATGTCAAATTCCAAGTTTACATCACACTTCGGCACCAAAATGATCTGGAGAATGGCAGCATTTATAAGGTAAGATAGGTACAGTGAAAACATAATGACAACATACAAGCCTCACTGCTGTGATAATACCTTCTAGAACACCCTGGGAACATCAGCCTTTTGCAGTATCCGTGACACTTGAACGACTGATTATTTATACAGACCCCAACTGGTATAAAATAAAGATGTCAAGTGTTTCAATTACCATCTCATTTCTGGAATTCATAAACAAACTGTAAAAACTTTCACATGTAGCACCTTCTTATTAAGTGCTTCCCGTATACAAGGCCCTACTCTAGATGTTAAAAGCTTGCCTGGGATCTGAGGAAACAAATAACACAGTTCCTATTAGGAATACAGAGTATGTGTTCAAATAAAAATATAAAGATTCTAAGCATAAATTCCATATTTATAATATAAAAGGAGTGACAGCTTAATATTCAAATGAGTTTCCAAGTGTACAATGGTTCTTGCATATATTTTACAGTGTCATTACACAAGTATCAGAACTAATTAACCATAAGGACAGTGTACTCAAATTAAAGTATTTCTTCAACAATCTGCTTTGCTGTCTATAATGCCAAAATGTACTATTATTGAATCTGTACATTTTCCCCTAAAAGTAAATCTAGTTCTTATATCATTCTGGCTCAGTATATACATTTTCAAATATTACTGGTAATACTTTAGTCTTTCTTCTTTCTAGGTTTCTCTGTTATAAAGGTACAAACTCCATAAACACTCAAGCAAATTCAAGTTAAAAGGAGAATATTAACAAAGAATAAATAAGATACATTATTTTCTTAACTAGTGTATCCTTTTTAAAAAATCACTAGTTGAGACCATAACTGTCCTGTTTGCTGAAGAGCCAAACAGGATATTAACAGACAGCACTTAATGTAACCACAGATTACATTTTATACTCTTAGTTGCTCATAAGCAGTACATTACGTTTTAGCAGAAAACTTAAAAAGGAAGCCTTTAGTACTATAACACATATACTGATAAAACAAAAACAACAATGGATTATAATGAAGCTTCATACACATGTGCATTCATTCCAATTATCCCAACAAAGGTTAACAACAGATGTCTATAGCAAGTCCATTCATTTAAGAATTTAGAAAGCCACATTTTCCATTATTCAATAAATCTGAAGAACAATAGCATGTCATAATATCCTTTACATTTGTCATATTTTTAAAGTATAGGTTCCTTACTACTCTAAGGTTAGAGTCCTATAAAATTGGGCATTTTGTACATTATCTTGTAATATTATGTATCTATGCATTCATCACCTACCTATAGGAATTAAAAGTCCCATCAGAATCTAAGGTAGAACTGGTTCTTCTTCCATTTTTATTTGAGTCTCCTGGAAAAAAAATTTAAAAACACTGAAATAACGGAGATTACAGAACTGAATATTTCCGTTGAAAAGTTACTATGTGAAAGCTCTATGCAGTATGTTGGGTCAGAAGGTGTATATCCCCTTATCCCTCCCCCAAATGTCTTTTATAATCAGAGCCCATTAGGCCAAAAATTGATTTTGATGCTAAGATATAAACCAATAAAACTGCTTCTAAGGTAGATAGGAATACTGCCAAAGTGATTGTTACCAGGAACAAATGAAGTCCAGTACAGACATTTTCTTCTTATGAGTCACAGGCTAGCCAAATTTTATAAACCACTTAATCCTACACTAATGTTTATAAACAAAGGGCAACTGTATGTTAATGACCAAGTCAGTCTCCCTGACCACTGGTAAAGTCAAAAGAAGCCGCCAGAGAGCAGACTTAGAATGTTTTCCAGCCTCCAGTTCACCCTATCTAAACATCTGATAAGCACAGAAGTAAAATAGAAAGCAGAATTGGGAGGTGATGAACAACAATGCATTCTAGTGAGCTTTGAATACGTCTTAATATTCTTCCCAAAACTTAGGTTTTAGCTGTGGGCAAAAGTTCAACAGTTTAAACTTTTTTTTTTAAATAACATCAAAAAGTATGTCTGCCTCATGTAGTAATATCAAACATTTAGAAAATAAAACATTTTCACTTCAGAAACTGGCATATTCATAAATTCAGATTTAGAACAAATTTATACCTATCAGTTTAAAATTATAGAATAGAAATAAATTTGCTAAAGGAGTTAAAAATGCTTACCAATGTCACAATATAAAATACATATTCTTATTGACAAAAGTTTAATATTAATAGTTTAAAATTTTAAATGTATACTACAAAGTATAGTTTTATGAAACCACAGTATACTACTATAAAACATATTTAGTTTTAGAAACAAATAAAAAGACTATAATCTGACTATATTTTATACTCCTAATTCCTATAATGTAACTTTCAAACATCAGGTTATATACCTTTTTATGATATTTAAAGCTTAATAATTTAATTATACATCCAATTTTAATTTATACTTTTAATCCACTCTGAACAAGCTAAGGTGCCACTGGAGATCATCACAGTGGTCCTGGTTAAGTCAAATAGTAATTACAGAGCTTTCACTTTAAAGATGAGATTATTTTTAATTATTGAGTATAGTACTTAAAGTACCATACTTATATAATTATGCTACTCATTAAATGGTTATTGAAAGCTGAAATGTAATTTTAATGACAGCTACCTATTTTTCTTTGCACACTTTACCGTTGACAGATTAGTCAAGAATGTTGGTTCCCTTCAGAATCTTTGCAGCTGCACCCAAGTTCCAGGAGGACAAGAACTGGACTGAGCCCACTTACGAACTTTTAACTCTATTTCATTTTTTCAAAATGTACTTTGTTTTTTTTGATTAAACAAAAATCCTAAAATGGATTATAGAACTTGAAGATGTTGACAATTATTATAGAAGAAAATAATCCAAAAAAAGTTAAGTGTTTAAGATCAATCTAGCTGGGTACACTTCGTTAATTCTTTAAAAACATGAGTACCGTAAGAATTCTCATTCAAAATAGTTCATTTCCTTTAAAAAAATTAATAGTATTACAATAAAATTTAAGTAATTAGTTTCTATCTTGCTAAATGAAAATTTCCTACAACACATGTTATATAACAGCTTGCAGACACTTCCTGTGAAACACTCCATAATCAGCATAGAATAAGTACATCATATATTGAAAAATATGAGCCTTCTCTCTAAAATGAAAGATTATGATTACTTAAATATATAAAATCTCACCAATAGAACATTTCTTGCCTTCCGCTGATATTTACAGATCAAATATAAAATCCTTCCATTAATTAAGACTTCCAGGTTTTTAAAAAAACTAGGTTTTGTCATAATACATTACAAAAGTGTTCTTCATTTTATACCTGTTATGAAATTAATATATCACATTAAATGTAACCTTCAAAGTATGGTAATAAGAGAAAAAAGCAGTTTTTCTTTCTCAAAAACATACCAAATAAGGAGTACAATTGTTTCTCTAAACAATATTAGAGAAGAGATTTCAGAGTTTGCTATACGAGGAAAAGGCAATAAAGTTTTGAAGAGGAAAACACTGCTTTGTTCCTTCAATCCTCTGGTTGAAATTAATTATAGCAAATGCTTATGAAAACATCTGTTTCTTACAGGTATAAATTCTTAATTTTAGTATGGACGATTCCAGACTTTGGAAGGAAATTGTCTGACAATTGAAAGGTTTACCAAAAAAACCCCACAACAACAGAGTTTGCAATTCTTGAAAATTGTATATAGAGTGTGCTATATCCTGTAGAGACTTTCATTTGTTTGAAACATTTGGAGGGATTTAAAACTGGTAAGTAGGAAAAATCAAAGACAAACAGAAAGGCTCATCGTTCATTTTTAAGCTGCTTTACAATTAAAAACATCTCTGTAACACAATAAACAACAAATAAGAATTATAAACAAATATTAATTTACTATCAACTTAATTTTAAGGTAAGTATAATATCTAAGTATTAATTTTATCAGGGATTTTAATAAGCCTAACACAATAATATGGGAAGGTATGTTGTAGTGTTCCCTAAAAAAAACAACAGAGGGTGCAAGAGAGTTTAATATAATGTTTTTAGTTGCTCTTAATTCTAGAACTAAGTTACCAGGTAGCAGTAACTATAAAAGGATGCATCAGTTGTTTTCAGAACTAACACTCTTTCTCACAGACACACACACACAAATACATTATTAAAGTAATCTTACACAAAGACTTTTAAATGATCAAAGAACACAAATACTTAAATGTTTTAAGATAACAATTAACACTTGCTTAAAAAGCAATTGAACAATAAAGTAAAATTTAAAATATAATTATGATTTTAAAGATATTTCAATATTTAACATAAATTAATCAGTAAAATAATCTGGACTCAGTAAAATAACTAAGTAAATTTAAAATAAATGCATAATTGCCCTGGCCGGTTTGGCTCAGTGGTTAGAGCGTCCGCCTGCGGTCCGGAGAGAGACCCGGATTCGGTTCCCGCTGTCATGTACCTCGGTTGCAGTTTGTCCCCGGCCCTGGTTGGGTCGTGTGGGTGGCAGCCACTGGATTTGTCCCTTTCGCACCGATGTTTCTATCTCGCTCTCTTCCTCCCACTCTATCTCAACAAAATATTGAAAAATGTCCTCGGGTGAGGATTAAAAAAAATTTTTTAAATAAATAAAAATAAATACATAATTATATACAAAATATATCATACATATTATGTTACTATATAAGTAATATAACATTGTTTAGCATTATATATTTATGGAGACAGTTCATCAATTACTTGGGACCATTACAGTTTGAAATTTATATAACATTTCTCATTAGTTCGTAAGTTTGTAAAATGAGTTCATAACATTCACAATTAAAATAAGTTGTCTAATTTGAAAAAATGCTTGTAGTTATATTGCTTCATATGAGGATATAAAGAGCATAGTATTTTCCACTAGTAATTTCTAATATACATGTATCTAACTTATTAAACCAATAATACATATAGTGGTTACTTATATTTCGAAGAAAGAAAATCGAATTCCAGACTCCTTTTTAGCTCTTAACTGCAGTCATGTTTAGTGAAGGACATTTTTAGTATCTATCTGTGCACTGTTGAGATCACACTAAACGAAAGTTTACAATAGATTCTATAGTGCTTTTTATGCACAAGTATGTGCTTTATGAAGAACCAGAGATTTTAAGCTAGGTTTCAGGTTTAAAAGAACCAGAATAATGCTATGAATAAGCACATGTACTCAATTGTGCCTTCAGTGTACATCTAAAAAACATCAAGTTTTAGAGTATCACATCACAGTAGGTATAAATTCTGGTAACTATTACATAATAAAAAGGGGTTTATCCATGAATTGTAAGAGAAATGTCACCAAGTATGTGTGATGAACATTTAATAGAAAGAAGGGGAAAAAAGATCTGGTTCACACTCACTAAAAACAAAGCTATGGGTAACCACATTTTAGTTGTGATAGGATAAGATGGTATAAATGTTAGTAGAAAGACCTATACAATCTTTTCTGTCTTTTCAAGGAATTAGCATTACTACTGAAATGTTTTAGTTACATTTAGAATCCCATTTTAAGTAATGATTTTTTTTAAAATCTATGAATTAATTATATTCATATTGACACATGGTAAAGGCAAAGCATAAGATCTGGTATCAGTATAGCCACACTAAAGGTATCACCTCATTTCAGGAATCAGATAAACAACAGTCTTTCTAGGCTAATTATTTATGCTAAAATTCAGGACCACTCACAGTGCTCAATACAAAAAATTTATGTACTTAGTATTTTTTTCATTTCCTCTATTACTGTCAATTTATCTACTTTCTATTGATTTAATGGTCTCATTTAGTTCTTTATGTAATATTTTCAAATTATTTTTTAGATAGGGAAAATTCAGATGTAAAACAAATACACAAAAACTATTTTAAATAAATAAATTTTAAGTGGAATATTTTAATTTGAGATTAAATTTTTTGTTATTCCTATTAAATCATTAATATAATTATTTTAAAAAGAAAGCAATTACATCAACAGAGTGGGAGAACACAACTCCAAATTACCCTCCCTCGGAACCACTGAAAACAAGCATTGAAACAAGGGAATACTTGCCCTTGCTCTACCCTCCCTGGTACAGTTTTGAAGAGGAAAACCAGCTCCAGCATGGGAACCTAGTACCTGGAGGTTCCAGGGATAGCAGAAAAGATCTATTTGCAAATAACTGTGCAAATGTGTACTAACTTGAAAGACTAAAACAAGATGCTCATCTCTTTTTCATCTAACAAAAATATATATAGTGGGAACTGCTTGTCAACACACTGTAAACCAAACAAACTAAAAACCAGCAAATGCAGAAGCATGGGCAAAGATTACCACTGAAACATAAAATTGACCACT